ATCTGGTGTGAAAAGGATTGGCTTTTATTGTTGGAAACTATTCATTATAAACCAATTCAAGGGATACGAAGTGAGTATTTATTTATAAATATTAGTTAAAACTAACGTTAATTTAATGTTATATTTAATTTGACAGATAATTGCATTTTCAATATTGCTATTTTTAAAAATATGCGAATAATAAATCTAATTATAAAACACATTGTTTTAATATAAAGTTAATATAAAGTATATTTTGTTAGTAAAATAATAACATTTATTTAAATGAAATTTTATTTTAAAAATGTGATAAATATTGTTTTAAATTTTAAATAACATGATACCAATTGGTAATAATGCTATTTTAAGTTCATATAAACTTATTTTCAAAATATTATTCACATATTTGGAAAATAAAACATCTTAGTACTAATATCAATGATATTACATGTATTCATGATATTATTTGTTATACAGTATAATAAAAATGTTGAATTTTTAGTTTTTTAGTTTTCTAATAATCTTTAACATTATTAAACTTTTTTATTTTTAAAATATATTGTGGTAAATATTGAGAGTTTATTAAAACAATACATGGCACATTATATAAAATTTGCAATATAAATAAACTACCATTAAACACATTTTCAAAATCATATTATTTGTGCATTTATTATGAGACAAAAACATTTGTTTGCAAAATGAATACGAATTTCTTAATAAGCTATTAATTCTATAGTTAAGTAATTAATAGCAATAAAAATTATCATTTATTGTAAAATATATGTACCCTTGAAAATAACAATAGAAATTATAATTAGTTATAAAATTATAGTCAACTTATTTTAAACTCAATTATAAAGAAAATAGTCATTACTCAATTATTAAATATGTTTTATAAATATCTAAAAGGTAAATTAATAAATATCTGGTGTGAAAAGGATTGGCTTTTATTGTCGGAAACTATTCATTATAAACCAATTCAAGGGATATGAAGTGAGTGCTAATTAATTAATTAATAGTAAATTTAATGGTTTTATTTTACAGAGAATTGCATTTACAACATTGATATTTTTAAAAATATGCGAATAATAAATCTAATAATAAAACAAATTATAAAGTTTGTAATTAGTGATTATTAATTACTTAACTTGTTATGTTACTTTTATCAAAATATATTAAAAATCTACTTGTCTGTTTTATTTGTAATTATATTGTCAGTGTGCATTAAATGTGAATATTTACATATCATTAGATTGATAATAATAAACAATATTATAGATAATGCTAAGTACACCAATTTAATTATAATTATAATCATTGAATAATCTTCAATATAGGGGCCAATGATAAATGGTGTGACCAATGCAAACAGTCCCTTTACAAACAAAAATACCGCGCTCAATTTACTAGTCATATCAAAGTACTGCTCAGCCATGGTTACAATGCCCGCATACATGGCTGAAAAGCCCAGGTTCATCACAATACTAGCCGCCCATAGACACCCCATTGACCACTGGCCAGGGATTAACAATAGAGTGCCAATTATTGCCAGTATATAATGGGCGGCTATTATAGTTCTCATTTGAAACCTGCAATTACATAAATTTTAAAACTACCATGCAACTATTTTTGTGTCATTTGGTCTATACTTGTATGGGTAGAATATGTTGAGCACCAGTCCCACCGAGTATACAGTGGCGGACACGGAGTATACTTCGGCCGCCTTATCGGCCGATAGCCTGAGCGGTGAGTACTGGAAGTACGGGACCGCGAACTTCATGTACACATTCTCGTAGACCAGATATAGTGAGAAAAATAGGGCAAACAATAGACGGATTGTCTTTTTAGGAGTTCCCGATCTGTCAAACAGCTTGACGGTAGAGGTGCTGTCCTCATGAGTGGTCTGGATGTCAGAGTTATCGGAGTTCCCTTTGAATGGCCGCATGAACTACATGAATATCAGAGCCACGGGAACTGTATGTATAATATAAACGTAAAATATTATTATACTGTACTTAATGGCTACCAAATGTTTGTTATATAGTCATATATTTTTAAATTAATCAATTCAAAGCTATATTGAAACTAACGTGTAATGATGCTTGCTCCAATTAGTAGTGTGGGGAACATTAATCGGTTGCGTCTATCAATGACATCATTGACATCGATAATGAGTTCATCGGTGGACACAATGGTCTGGTTATGTGTCTCACCGATAATAAAAGGCTTGAGAGCGACGGTTGATAATACGGATCCGATACCAAACATGAGCTCCAGGATCTGTACAATGGGAACCTTACTGTCCCTCCAGAGCTCTATACCCCACACGTAAATACATGATACGAATACACTGGAACTAAACCCTATGACAAACGCACAGATAAATAGCACCCATAGGTATGTGGACAGGGGTATGACTGCCGCAGCAACTGTCATCAGGGCAAAAAATACTGCCATAACTAGCTGCCTGTTTAGGTATTTGAATAGCAATGTTACTGTAAAATAAGTTTTAGTTTAGTATAGAACAGAATATTCTGATGTTTATTATATTGTTATGAATTCTTACCAAATGTTCCCAAAACAAAACCCGTGGTCTCGAAGGTAGTGAATAGTGAAACCCATTTCATGGATGTCTTGAGTATGTATTTCATGTCAATCATGAGTGGGGCATAGATTGAGAATATCATTCCCTACCATACAATTGAAAATATTCATGTTATTTTAAACATTTAACTATAGTTGCGAAATAAGTTAGTAAAATGATTATTTTGTTTTTGTTAATATAACATCTTACCATATTATGTTAATATAATTTTTAATTAGTGTAATATAAAAGTTGTTTACTTACAAATGCAATGTTGCTGGCCATTAAAATAAATGTGTAGACATATTTGTCATAATTAAAAGCATTATTTCTAAGTGTTTTAAAGATCATGGCTNTATAATTTTTAATTAGTGTAATATAAAAGTTGTTTACTTACAAATGCAATGTTGCTGGCCATTAAAATAAATGTGTAGACATATTTGTCATAATTAAAAGCATTATTTCTAAGTGTTTTAAAGATCATGGCTATAAGGATATACTACAACAACTCTTTTAAGGTTTTTGTTTGACAGTAATATAATATTAATTCACTTGTAATATGTTTTGACTTTAAATAGAAAATTTTTCTTAAATCGTAAAACAATTATAAAGTATAATAAAGAAATAATAAAAATATTGTAGAATTTTAAAGAGTAAAATGAGTAGGTAACAGCCCCTAAAGTACTGTATATTGTATAATCACTAATTGTAAGTAGTAAATAATTATATAACCACTACTAGTATGTTTAAACAATAAAAACTATATCTATATCATTTAAACCTTTTTAGTAATAGGTATCGCATATCATTATATTTTTATTACATTTTGAACTTTTCTAAAGACAAAACAATAAAATTATAATTTTCATAATTATAAAATGAATTAAATTACTTCAAATGAAGTTTTGCATAATTACACAAGAATATTACTGATATATTTATCATAAAAAATATAACTTGAATTATTGGCAAGGTAATAAAAAACTTTATTTTATAAAAACAAATATAAAAATTACAATACAAATTAGTATAACAAATATAATTTATATTTTGTAAATGTTATTTTAATTATTTGTCTGGTTGAAGCTTTTGGGACAATTTGGTAACCAAAATAAAATACCTTAAATACATGACTGTTAACTGTAAATGAAATATATTTTTAATAAATAAAATATAATTTATTTTTAGAAATTCATACAAAACTAAACTTTGGGAAAGTCATCACAAATAGACTCCCAATTGAAAAGCCAGTTATAAGTCGTTTTGACAATAATTTCTCAATAAATGCCATCAGTTTTAACTTAATGTTTGAATTATTTTTGGTGTTTAATTGCAATTTAATAATTTTATTATGTGTTAAATGTACACTTTTTGATACTTGTGATGCAAAAAATGATATGCAAAATATGAACTCCCAGGTAAATATTCCCAATAAAAAGTATAACATAAATGAAATTATTTGCAATGGAATAAATAACAAGGTAATTACGGTTATTAGGTTTAATGGCATCATAGTTAAAATAAAATATAAATAATATGTTTTCCAAAATTTATTAAATAAATAAATTTGTTTGCAAATAATATTGTGCTCTTTAATAATATCTAATAATTGTAAATGATAATTTAATTTCTTGTAATGTTTTGTATTTAATTTAAGTATTTCTAAGTTTAGTTCATTAGTCCTTAATTTAAAATAATAGCAAATTATATAGAAATGTGTGATCGTGTAGCTCATATCACTACTACATGTATAATAGCTGATTGACATCATTATGATCCAGGTAAGAGATGTCATTATTTGTGAAAGTGTATAGAATCTAATAAGAACAAATGCTAAATCCAGGAGCAAGGTAAAACCTAAAATGAAAAATGAAAATATTATTATTTTACATTACTAGTATCCTATTTAAAAAATATTGAATTAATGTCTTATACTTACTAAATAATGCTAATAAATAACTGATTAATTTAAACACATTTCTTGAACGGCGATAAAGTTTCCGGATAATAATACTGTGATTTTTATTGAAATCCATTTTATTAGGATGATTATTGCCGTAAATTACATCAAATAAACCTTTCCAATAAAACAAACTTGGATTTTGCATGATATTAAAAAATAATTTCATAAATATTGCCCAGAGCATAATAAATATATTATTCATGGCATTAAATAAATCTAAACCACCAATAAGCATTTGCCAGTCAAATAAAATCATACGCGTATCAATATTAAAATCCACAAAACATAAAATGCTATATTTAATCAAATTAAACAAGTTAGATATAATAATTATTTTGTATAGAAACCTTTTATTTAAACAATTTTTAAAATATTCAGACATTATTGTATGGTTTGTGTGCAATAACCATATATTGAACAGTGCAAATGCAAAATAATAAAATTAACTTAAATACAATTAAAAATTTATTTTTCCACAAACAAGTCAAATGGATTCGTAATAATTATAATAATGAATTTGAAATATATTTTATTAAGAATATAAGATATTTATAATTTTTATTCATTATACTGTACAATGTACATAGCATACTTAATATAAACTTAATTACATACCTAATGATGGTTATAGTTTATAAGTAATTTAAGTCATTATTCTTAATTTTAATTAAATAAATACAAATGCACTAGTATTATTTTTTAAGATAATGATCATTTTATTAATTTGCACTATTTGTTATATACTAAAATAGATGTACTATAGAATGACTATTTTATAGTTTATCAGGTTTAAGTTTTTGTGATAATTTGGTAACCAAAATAAAATATCTGATGTACATTATTGTTATCTGCAAGAGATAGGTATGTTTTACTTTAAAAATAAAAAATTAAATATTAATTTTTTAAAATACATACAAAACTAAACTTCGGGAAAGTCATCACAAATAGACTCCCAATTGAAAAGCCAGTTATGAGTCGCTTTGATAATAGTTTCTCAATAAATGCCATTAATTTTAATTTTGTGTTTGAATTATTTTTAATATTTAACTGCAATTTGATTATCCTATTATGAGCTAGGTGTACATTTTTTGAAACTTGAGATGCAAAAAATGATATGAAAAATATGAATATCCAGGTAAATATTCCCAAAAATGCATACATAATATATGTAAATATTTGCAATGGCACAAATAACAGGGTAATAAAAGTAATAAGATTTAATGGCATTATTGTAAAAATAAAACATAAATAATACATTTTCCAAAATCGGTTGAACAAGTAGATTTGAGAGCATATAATATTATGCTCACTAATAATATCTATTAGACTAAAATCATAATTTAATTTTTGGTAATGTTTTGCATTTAGTTTAAGTATTTGTCGATTTAATTCATTAGTCCGTAATTGAAAATAATAGCATATTATATAGAAATATGTGATCGTATGTATTAAATCACTACTCACTGTATTATAACTTACTGATAATAATATGATCCAGATCAATGCTTGAGTGAATTGTGTTAATGAATAAAAATTAACTACGATGAATATTAGATTTATTAGCATTATGACATCTATATTTATAAAAGTAAGATAAATTTTTTACTAAAAGGTATCTAGCAAATAGCGATATATAACATACTATGTATATAATAATTTATTTTAATATATAATACTTACAATATGTATTTAATATACAACTAATTAATTTTAACACATATTTTGTCCGTTTGTAAAGTTTTCGGATAATAATGTTATGGTTTTTTGACAAATTTAATTCACCTGGATTAATGTTGCCGTAAATTATATAAAATAGCGTTTTCCAATAAAACAAACCAGGATCGCGTAATATATTAAATAAATATTTTATAACTACCGAGCAGAGTAGTATGAATATATTAGCCAGGGCATTAAACACATTAATACCCCCAGCAAGCATTTTCCAATCAAATAATATCATGCGTTTATTAACATCTAAATGAACAAGGCATAGAAATATATATTTAACTAGATTTACAATATTAATTATAATTATTATTTTTATAGAGATCTTTTTGTAAAACAATTTTTTAAGTGACCATACATTTTGAATTTGTGGCATGAAAATAGTTTTAATATAAATTTATACATAATAATATAATATGTTTTTGATAAACAAGTCTCACAAAAATTGCTAATATCTATAATTATAATTATACCGTAAATATTTAAACATTTATAATTAACTTAGAAAATATTTCGCATGTTCACAAAATATACTTTATATTAAGTATTATATGAACTTATACTAATTACTTTATTAATGACAAATAAACGAAATCATTTTATATTCAAAGACAATATTTTTGTTTCATTATCATAATGTTATAATTGCCTGTATAATTAATTCATTGTGTAATTTTATTACGTTATATTTCAGTATTCATAGTTTATTTATATATATGAGACTTGAAATGATATGATACAAGAAATGATATGAAAAATATAAATACCCAGGTGAACATTTCTAGAATAGGTGATAAAATATATGATCTAAAACTAAGCATGGCTTGGGTATGGCTACCATCCCCTCCAATGCCCGCAAATCGATGGCCTAATTCACGACAAACTGTGGCACCGGTAGAATACAATACACGCACCGGAGGCCTCCCCGCCACTAGACTTACCGGTGTTTTAATTGTGTGTATTACTCAATGATACCAGGGTACATGGGTTGTAATTAATCATAACCTACATGCAATTCTCAATCATTAAAATTATTTAGAAATTTAATATTTCTTCACATTTCTATTCAACAAGTCTTATGATAACTCTGATAATAATCTTTAATAATAATATAGCCAGTTACTTTTGTTGTTGTTAAAACAAATATAATATTATGCAATTTTATTCATTCATAATATTAGATTTATATAATGATTTTCTGTTACAAATAAGATAATAGTTTTCAAGATCATTATCAAATCCGTAATGTACCGTACAGTACAGTACTTGGAAGTTATTGAACAAGCAAATATAAAATAAATATTTAATATGATTTTATTTTTCCAAGAATAGACAAATAATAAAAATCTAATATTTATATATAGAAAGTAAACTCAGATGTTCCATTT